TAAAGTACGCTAGCACCACCAAGTACTTCACGTTTATTTCTAAAACTGGAACGTATTCCGGAGAGATTTACTTACGCACTTCAGATTCTCTTAGGTTTAGTCCTAAATTGAGCCCTCCCCTACTCCGAATTCCGCCGCGAACTCTTCACCACACAGTCTCCGGTGTACGCTTCAATGTGATCCATGTCTGGGTAACGCGACTATTACCCCTGCCTCAAGCTGAAGCTTAAGCAATCCTAGGTCCATGATAAACACCAGGTTTGTGATGTAAACTCTGCTGACCTCAACAACAATGATAACAAACATTCGTTCACATCGCCTGCCCTATTCTAAATGGAAGTGGAGAGCTAACATCGACCAAAACGATCCCAACAAGGATTTTTCCAAATCGTCTCTATTTACACCTATTCCCGCGAAACACCGACTCTTTTCACAATACCCAAAACGAAGGTTCAACTTACGTCTGATGAGCACGAAGAAATATACGCAGACCTCGCAAATCTAGATATCAACGGTGCACATACCGCTGATAACCAAGATTCGAGAATACGAAGAAAGAATGATGAAATCCGTGCCCGAGGGAGCATCATCAAAGATTACGGTATCTGTCCATTCGGGACCCCGAGCCGGTGCAGCATAGGCGCCCTACAAAACTTTGCGCGGCGTTGGGAATCTTCTTGCGGCTATTTGAGAAACAATCTTCCAGACTTTGAAATTCACTGCTGGGAACTCGCAAAAGCCTATAAGGATCTCATCTAGTAGAGGTGTTTGTGGTGCGACAGTTTCTGGAGCCGACAGAAGCTCCAATTTTTGGGGAGGAAGGTCCTGGGTTGCGTGGAGCACTTCGATTTCGCTTTTATATTTGTCCAGGAGCTTCCTATTAATTTGCGAAAGAAACTGGATTACCTCGGGCGATATTAACTATTGTATTGTTGCATGTCATACCCAACCTTAGTGGATGTGAACCGATCTTGACGCTTTTGAAGTCATTTTGTGGTCATGGAGCCCCTCCTAAAAACCTTGTTATGCCCCATCGTAGAGACCTCTTATAGTCATGTTTGGTTTCTCACTCCACCGTAACCTCTTCTGATATTTTGATCCGTGGGCAGAAAAAGTGGCCGAATTTGTCTTTTAGCCCTTCACTGATCGCGCAACACTCCATGTGCAAGGACTATTTGCATGCTTGTTGGTTTTTATTTACATTTGTTTCGTGACTTATTACTTATTACTTTGCATTTAATATTGTAACTATTTTCATATTAGTTGCGAAAACGAAACAGCTTCTGGATCGATTTTCAATCTTTTCCTATGGAAATTGCACCTACATCGTCGATGGCTGTCAAAATTCCTTTCTTAATCGCATTCTCATTTATAGTATGTTCTGAAGCAGAAAGAATAGTATTGGTGCTTCAGGTCCATTCGGCTTTCTCTTTCGATGTGGCTTGCTCAACATAGGTAAACGTATGATTCCCGGACAGCGTACGGTCTCATAAATATTAAAGTAAGCTATATGCGCACTTTTTCTCGAGATCAAAAACATAATTGTTAGCGTCGCTTTCCGCGAATCATAGGTGATAGTCTTATACTGAGAGCAAGTTCACGTTACGATGAATGGAGGATGTTATGAGGTAAACATAAATATATTACTCATACTATTTAGAGAAGTGCTCTAATTTATCGAGGTAACTATTTAGGAAGCCTATAATGAGCCCAGCGATTACGAAGACGAAGAGGAGGAGACGCATGAAAGACATCGCAGTCGAAGTCGAAAGCGAAAGCATCGCCACAGCTCCGGAAAGGTTCGCGATTTCACGAAAGGAGAATACACTTCTTATCACAGAATAGAATAAGAGTGACCAAGTTGGTGGGGTCTGAAAGAAACATCTCAAGAGTTCATAGGAGATGTCTGTCATTGCTGGGTACCAATATCGGGGAAGTGTAGAGATAGGTGAAAGCTGAACGCTTTGAATATAAAACGATGCTTTTCCCTTTGACCGCATAGTCCTTAAATTATGAATATTTTTACGCCGAACTGCCTCCGGCATCGGCTAAGTTCGGAAGAAGAATTCCATCCCACGATGTAATAACCGCGAGCCGGCGAAGTTTTTTACAAGAGGTTGAAAAGTTGATGACGTGTTAATGCATACTGATCAAAGGGAATGAGTAATACTATATTCGAACGAAGGGCTCGCGTTTGTGGTTGGTTTTGGGAAGGGGAAGGGGTCCTATCAGATGTTGAGTGTACTAATTTGTTGAATGAATGTGAGTGGATGGTGAGGCGCTTTAAATTGGTTTTTTGAGGGATTTAGTGGATGTCACAGTGTGAGAGGTGGGGTAGGCGTTGGTGGGAGAAAAGAGAATTTACCGTTTCATTGCACTAATATACCTCCCCTTCCCCTCCTCCCGCTCGTTTCTGTTGGGGTAGGAAGAAGGGTGGTCGGTTTGGAGAGCCTCCTGAGTCTCATGGTGGTCGAGGGGGGGATGTTTCGATGCGATCCCCCCCCCCCCTCAAAGGAGGGGAATTTTTAAAAGTGCGAACGTCATGGTTGATCCTGGTTAGAAGAAACTAAGAATACTTATGTATGTATCTTTTTTTCTCAAAAGGCGCTGCTCACGGAGTTGCGAAGAAGGCATAGAAATGCGCTAATATTGTGCCTCAGAAACCTATCTGAGGCACAGTATCTATCAGTCACGTCCCAGGCTTTGATGTGAGCCGGCATCCAGATCTCGATGGTCTTGTGAAAAGTTACAAAAATTTCTATCCAATTTGCCTACGCTAAATAAATGAATCAGAACGGAGCTTGAAGCCGGATGTTCTTGAATGGATATGGCGGTAAGAGCTTATTTTGTAAAGTGCGCATGGCTAGAGGTAGAATAGTGACTGCGGGCGCCGTTCTGCATATTGTTAACCGACCCGCATCGGTACCAGTCAGGCGCTCCATACCACCTAGACGGTTGGTCTGCGTAAGGCTTATTTCGGCGAATAACACTAGCCCAAACTGTTGGCTGACCCTCGCATATCTTTGTTTTGTAGTAAATTAGCTATGTTGGTGGAAGGATTGCAAACCTAATTTAGATCACATGCCCATTCGATTGCCTATGTGGTCCGGGGCAGATTATAGAGAGATTGATCAGTGCTGATCGTGCTCGATAGGCCGCTCGCCTCTTCTTGGTGATCCGTAGCTTGGCAGTAAGTTGGCTCATTGGCAAATGGGAAGAAATAAGTCGATAGCATTAGAATGCGCTGCTATGGTCAAATGTTATGAGAAGAGCTATTGTGCCCTACTTCAGCATCGCCGTCATCGCAAAAGGTCTCGTTCGAGAAGTCGAAGTCGTAGCAGAGAGAGAATACCTGGTCGAGTACATATAAATCCGAATTTTGCGTACGTTACTAATAAAATAATTATCGAAAATATGCAACTCTCTTCAAGAAAGCTTTTAGAGAAACTTGGGACCAACGGCGTCGTCGTTGCTAGAAACCAACAATATTCTTGAAGCCGAAGTTGTACGTTTGCGAAACGAATTA